CAAAGCACATAATGCAGATTTTTTGAGATTCAGAAATGATACCAGGAGCTCTTTGAGTGTAGGAACATAGGAATGAAGGGCCCAGTCTTCCAGGAACTCATGAGTCTTAGCCTTGCAGAGCCCCTTCCTCTTCTGCTCTGGCCATCACCTTCCCTGCATCACTCCCAGCTCTTCTCCCCTGGCTTGTGTCCCGAGCCCTTGGTCCTGTTCCCACTGGCATTCAGAGACAATGCTACAGGGATTGTTTTCCTTGTGAAAGGCAACCACACTATATAGATTCTAATTATTTTACAGAACATCTGCTTTGCAAATGAGAGATCTCTGGGGCCTGGGCTACACAGAGTGAACAATTTTGAGGAAGCTTTTAACAAAACTTGAAATTGCTTAACAGCAACAATGAAATCACCTCCCCTTCCTGCTGTTCTGGGTCTCATATATCCTCACTCTGAGGAGAAGGTGACACTTAGGAAATAATCTAGGGCTGCTGAGGTGGCTCCATGATAAAGCCCCTGCTCCTCAAGCATGAAAGCCTAAGTTAGGATCTCCAACACTGATGTCAGAGCCAGGTGTGGCAGCAGGTACTGAGAGTCCTGGCACATGGGAACAGAGACCCAGGGCCCCAGAAGCTCACAGCCACCAAGACGAGACAAAATGGTGAGCTCCAGTCCAGTGAGAAAATGTCTCAAAAAATTAAGGTAGCGAAACAGTTGAGGACATCCTGGTGTGTCAACCCCTTCACATGCACCCACACAGGTGAGTACACATACACACACACACACACACACACACACACACACACACACACACACACAGACAATGTCTTTCTTAGGGCACTCCAGTTTGGGTCTTTTAGCTTAGCTCTGTTCTTGGCCACTTTCTCCATCAATAAAGACTGGTATGTTAATTAAGCAGAACATAGGTGGCAAGGAAATTAATTGGAAAACCAGTAGAAAATACATTTCAAACTTGAATTTCCCAGCACTTTATTTTTTCTTTCAACAAATTTCAAATAACTTGAAGGGGAGAAAAAGAGGGGGGAAAACACCCATATTTAATATATATTGGCAAGCACAGCACAGCTATGAAGTAAAATTGTCAGGGGAATTCTTTGCCTGCCCTGGTGCTGAGATTTAAAGCCTCTCCATAGCAGAGACTGAAGAGGAATTCAATTAAGGAAGCCCATTGGTTCTGTATTGACTTTAGTTAAGAAAATCAACTAAGGGAAAGTGTATTAAAATGTTGCCAGGCTGCTTGTCCCACTTCTGTCTAAGAGTGTATGGCTGGCAAAACAGGAGAGCTTGAATTCCTTACACTAAGAGCTGCTCTAGGATAGGCTGGCTTTGTTAGGTTGTACCCGAAGCATTCTCCAGCATTCACCCTGGTCTCACATAGCCACATGCTGTCCTGCAGTGACTCTGTGTCATAGTACAAGAACTACATAGGTCAATTGGTAAGAAAAGTATTTAAGGTTGTGAATTTAATTTTGTTGTAGGATTTTCATTTTCATTTATGGCACCCGTTGTGTTTGAGACCACAGACTAATTTATGGATTAGTTTTAAGCCCCCAGTCTGTCACACTCAATGAACAATTCTAAGTTGGAGAGAATCCATCTGAAAGGATTAGAATGGGCCACACTGGGGCTTACACATGACTGTCTCAACTAAATATTGCCCAGCTGCCTCTCAGGCGGGTTGGGTTTCATTCCCTCCGCTTGGCTACTTGGTAAAATGGCTTCAGTCTCTAATCTCACACATTGTCATTGCTTTCTCATTTTGCAAATTTCTTATACTGAAACGTGAACTATCTGTGGCTGTTTTGGTTATTTGAGGCAGGGTCACATTAACTGTTTGAAGGGCTGTGAGCCTAAGAAGGGAAGGCAGTGTTGAATGAAATGAGTGCTTTTCAGAAAAAGTCACTGCAGGGCCCTAGCTCAGATGTAATTCTTTCGGTTGAACAGCTAGGAAATGCCTAGTAAGACTCATACACTCATAGCATTTGTGAGAACAGGGAATTGGCTTGTTTTTGTTTGTTTCATTATTTTTTAAACATATAAAATAATATACATTTGTCCTCACTATGATTAAAACTAGAGATGATGGCTTAGCTTAGCCCTTTTGTATATTATAACCCAATGCCTTCCATTCAACTTTTTGTGACTTACTTCTCATAGGCCTAGCTCAATGTTTTTTTTTTAAGACGACAAAATTAGCTTTTAAAGGCTTTTGTGAGGGCAACTAGACACTATTTTTCAAGCCAATTATTACATTTATAACTTAGATTGGAAATGTTTGCATTTGCCCACACAAAATGTTACCAGTAACCACCCAGAAGCTGATTCTTGGTGGCGGGGGGGGGGGGGTGTTGTACTTTTCTTCACTTTGTGGTGAAGACACCCTAATAAATGTGCTTCACAGCTCTGTACTTAGCCCAGAGCCATGCTGTCCTTGGTTTCTACATGGCGTGGGGAGCACACAGTCACTTCTAAAGCATTTTCCCTTCTCCTTTGACTTGACATAGCCTCTGCTCTGGTCACATACCAGATGCTCTCTGAGAAGCAGAGTCAATAGCTCCCCAGAAACATTCTCAATCCTGATTTAAACCCAGTAGCCAACCTGTGTTCCCGCTGCAGCATCCCTTCCATTGCTGCTCATAGGCTCGCGATGTCCAGCTGCACTAGTCGTGTTGTTTGACTTGAATATGTGTTTGCTTAACTGTTTTAGAGTGTTTTTCTGCAATACCCCCTTTTCTCTTCTGTTGGGTGCAATTGATGGATTTCGCATCCCTAGAGCTGGGGAGCAAAATGCACTATGCTCGTGGCTGCATTTATTGTTCAGTGCCCATGGAAGAGCTAACGCCTTGCTTCACCTGGTTTAATTTTGTCATGAAGCTGACACAATGCCCTAATGCAGGAAGACAGTAAATTGGGATCATTGGTCAATGCTCAGATCTGATTTTTGAAACTTCTAACCCTGGTGTTTTAGTCAACCCATCTTTCTTTCGTTTTACACTGATGATTTACCTGGTTCCCTTCCCCCCAAAATGGGTGTTAGAAGTGCTACCACAAAAATAATGAGCCAAAGCAGTTATTGCTTTTTCTTTAGTGTTTTGGAAAGGAGCCAATGCCTGCCTATAAAATGTATTACATGCATCTAAATGTTTATACAAATGTGCCTTTGATCCTGCCCCTCAAATTTAAAGTGCCTCAAACCACTGTTGGACTAGGATGTCTCAACTATGGAGATGTATCTGTCATCCTTAAGGATCTGGTGTAGGGTTTGTTTCAACTGTACAATTTTCTGTGTTGTTTTCACTGCTATTTTAGGCACACAGACTTGACTTGTAAGTATTGTACTCTTCTGCAGTGTATTTTATGATTTTTTTTTCCCTCCTTCCTCTAGTCTTGAGAAATTTAGTGATCGGTTATATCAAGCTGCATTGGCCTCTCAGACCTCTGATTAATTCTGGCTCCTTAAAAGGTCTCTGAGTTTTTGATGGTAATGGGGTCCCTATTGGCCCAGAAAGCATGCCAACTGAAGGGGAACACCGGTGTGAATTCATGTGTCATATTTATACATCAGAAGCTCCAGGCTCATTGGAATCCTCCCCCCAAAAATACATTCTATGTTTGATATTCTGGTGCATTTAAACATTGCCTATGTCGAGCTCCAAAGAGTCAGTGGAAACAGTTGCCAGCTGAAGAATTGCATCATAAAAATGGCAGGGATTGCTTGTGATTTTTAATCCTCATTATCCCACCTGAACACCAGCAGCTTCTGACTAGAGAGGGCTTGGTAGAAGAAACATACTTGAAAACTGCAGAACTGGTGCATTGACATTAGAATGAAGTTGGCCAGAAGACCTGTGTCTAAGATGACTGGAAAATGAATGCCACCATGCATTTTTGTCAGTTATTCACCCCACTTCTATAGTCAAAAGTAAAGAGAAAATGCATTCCTTGAGTGCTTTGTGGATATTTTCCCTGTGAAGAAAAGGCATTGCCACAACCTGATAGGCGCAGACTTGAACAACATCGGAAGTAGAAGAAAGAGGCAGGCCACAAGTGAAGAAGATGGCAGGCACCAGTGAAGATGATGGCTCTGTCTCCTGACCCAGCCATGACAGCAGACTCTTGACAAGCAAGCCTGTGGCTGTGGCGCTGTACACAGGGATGGCTGGGTTCTTGAAACCTTGAAATTCACAAGTGGTGTTTGGCAGTTGTGTGAACATGTGTGTTTTTCAGACAGGCCTCATAGATATAACATATCTTGTAAGATGAAGAATTGGTGTACATGCATGTGTGTTTGTACATGTGCATGTATGTAAGTGTGTGTGGTGTATGTGTGTGTGGTGTATGTGTGACTATATCTTGAACGTGTTCGCTCCCATGGCCTCTCCATGACTTTAACTTGCTGGCTATCTTCTGATGAAATAATACAGTGGATGGAAAACTTGAATCTGTGTGCTGCACATTCACCTGCAAGCGTCTGAGCTTCAGTGCTGGAAAAGCACCCTCCTAAGAGTGGGTCTGATACTTAACAAGAAGTCCCAATGCCCGGGCAGGTTGGATTAAAACAAGGCAATGTTTGAATGTCTGAATCCATTGTTTAACTAGCCTTCCGACTGAGCTTTTCTGTCGCAGTCCTGAGCTTCGATGCATTAAGAACCTTTTAGCAGCCACTGAGTTTGCACTGGTGTTTCTCATCACTTTGCATGTCCCCCTGACTATTGACTCGCAAACACGTGTGTCCTGGCAAGACCCCCGGAACCAAAGAATTTACTGTTTTCCTCCCTGGCTCGCAGCTTTGAGCTCAAGGCATGTCTTAAAACAGTGCAACTCACTTCAGATGCTTTTGGCTTTTCATTTATTATTGCTTGTCACGCGGTGTTCTTTGAAAGCTTGCTCATATATTATCTGTTCCATTTTTTTCCATTCTCCCTTTTTTTGCATGCCGTTCCTCCTGTTTCTTCCCTTCCTCCAATCCTCTGTTCCCGTCTGTAGACACAACGGCGACGACAGAACCAGCAGTTCACGGTTGGTATCACATTACTGTTATCTACTTTCTCAGCAGTGCTGAGAGGCAAGGCAAGCCTGGGAAAAAGAAATGCAGTCTTCAAGGGAACTCACGCTCCAAATAGACTGAGCTCATAAATGCACCATCAGTTCTTAATGCTTGGCCTTACACTGAGTCTTGTCATTTCTGTTGTGAGTTCAGCACCCTATGCTTGCAATAGGAGATGAGGTCTCCTCTCCGGTGGCAAGCATGGCAGGGTGTCCATCACGCATTCCTCCTTGTCTATAAAACTCCACCAAACCTTGGAATCAATGAGACTTTGAAACTTTTTAAATTAATTTTTTTTAAAAAGAGAGAGAGTATTTGTCTGCAGAGCTAGCCCAGGTGCTTCACTTACCAGCTTTTACCTCAGGGAATTTTGAAAGGGGGTTCTTTGTTCCTCCGTGTTTGAGACAGACAGTCCGAAGGAAGATCTCCTTTTAGACTCCCAACATGAAGAGTAGAAGCCTACTGGTCTTCTCCAGAAATGTCATGACTTTCATTCTCTTCCTCCAGGAACCTGTCCACCCAGCCACCCCAGTCTCTGTTCATTTACGCTTATGCTTCTGTCGGGTGGGAAACAGCTCCCCAACACTGTTCCCCATGTCCATTTGAACACTGTGAAATAGGGTTTTAAGGAAGCCTTCAGTGTGTGGTACTTTGTAAGCCAGATAATAAAAAGTATATTAAGGGTTTTTGTTTGTTTGTTTGTTTAGCCAAAAGTTGATTACAAATTGAGTGCATAAACTTGAGACAGGGACATCCGGACACATTATCTGCTCTCCCCTGGCGCCAGTGCGCTACCGAATGGGGACAGTTCTATTAACTTCAGTTTTTGTTTTTGTTCAATCAGAAACTGAGAGTCCTGTTTAATCCGTGTATTATTGTATTACTCGGCTCAAATCTAACCTTGGCAAGATAGTGCTTAGAGCAGTGCTTATGTTAGTCTAAAGGGGGCTGAATTTTAATAACTGGATCCAAGGGAATCATTTGGTAAAGGACCTGCTTCAATCACTTTATATGCTATGCAGGGTGAAAATCTGTCACTTCAGTGACAAGAGGTGATCAGCCAGCCCTGTAGTGTCAATTCAGTTTCTAAAATAACATCTAGTCCACACTGACTTCCTTAGGCAACTTTGTCTAAGAACTTAGAAGTTGGGAACCTGTGAGTAAAATCTGTTGGGCTGTCCTTGGTCATGATCAGCAGGACTCTCATTCTCTCCCTCTCTCTTCCTCTCTCCCTCTCTTTCCCTCTTCTTCCTCTTCTTCTCCCTCTCTTGCAAGGCAACACAAACTTAAGTAGGAAGTGATGTGGCTTTCCAGCCTACTCCCACTTCACTGTCCTTTCCTGCCACTGGGACAAAGGGACATGTCCATGCAATAAGTTAAAGGGGTCAGGTACACTGGACAGTCATGAGAAACCCATTCAGTATAAAGTTTCCATTTCTAAGGTGATGTCCACAGAACTGGCTACACCTTAGTTACCACACTCCATTAAACTTAGTTGAGTGGTAGTGTACACCTTTAATCCCAGCACTCAGGAGGCAGAGGCAAGTGGATCTCTGTGAGTTTGAGGCCAGCCTGGTCTACAAAGTGAGTTCTAGGACAGCCAGGGCTACACAGAGAAACCGTATCTCAAAGAACAAAACAAACAAACAAAAACCTTATTTTGCATGTTTCATCTTTAATTGAAAGCATCCTGACTTCTTGGTTATCCTCAGAGCTTTAACTTGGCTTCAATGTAGCTCGGGAGATTTTCTTTTATTCTTTTTAAAGTACTCTTAAGTTTGGGGCTTCCTATAATTAACTCCAGGGTCAAGTGTAACCTAAGAGTCCCAAATTCTCAGGGTTCTTTGAAGAAGTAGTGACCATTTCTCCCCTAAAGCCCCAAAATTCAATGTTTCATTCCCTTGATAAAAATCCAAGCGCTTGCACTTGCGGCATCCTTAAATACCCAGATAGGGTATATGCAAACTAGAACTTCATATAAAAGCTGAGTCTAATTCTGGGCTGCTCATTTTAATTAGGTCTGTCTCTTTAAAAAGAGAGAAAAGGGGAGAGGAATCTCTGAAGACATGGCTTGGGGTTATATAGCATACTGGTGGCAGGACATGGGGCTGGCTGGGCCTTGAGAAGCAGCCACTGTCTTTCTCTTTAGAGACAATATCAAGCCAGGTTTACAGGCGAGACTGACTGGAGTGAGAAGTCTGTGGGAGAAAGTAGGAAAGACAGTCTTCTTATGCCATGTACCTCTCATGCCTCCAGCTGTACTCCTCAGCAGCTGAGAACTGATGGATAATCCTAGCTGAGCCCTAGCATGCATTTATAAATATATTCTTCCAACTTGTTCCTGATCCTCATAGTGTCTTCTCAAAGGGTCCCCTACTATTCTGACCAGCTGACTCTCAAGCCCACAGCCAAAAGCTCTAATGAAAAACCTAAGTGATGTCTGAAATTTTACTTGATGAAATAGGAAGAAATTTTCTAAGTCATTTGGAAAGGGTAACAAGATGTGGTGGAAATTATAGACTGAGGAAACGGGTGAACCAGGACATCATACTGCAGAGTTTATGTTAGCCTAGTACTGGAGACCCACCTTCAGCACAGCAACTGTCTGATTCACATAGTGACCTTGAGATGGCTCTTATGGTGATCTGGTCCCAGAAAAAAAAAAAAAAAAAAAGTTAAGTGGCTTGATAACTTAGCAACTTAAATGACAAGACATACTAAGTCAGCCAGCTGTGGCATCTTATTGGTCTTAAAAATGATAAACTGAATTTTCCATATTGCTATTTTCTATTTAACAAACAGACCCTTTCAAGATTTCCCTTTGAAGACTCATTAACATGTTTTATTCAAGCTTGTGTTGCTAGAGTATGTATGAAGTTTATTCTAGTTGTTCATGTGTGTTGACCGTTTGTTTTAACCAATAACTGATTGGGATAAGCATGTGTTGGAAGGTTGGACGTGCATGGGCATGATTCGAAACCAAATGGATTTTCTCCAAAAGAAAACCAAGCAACAGTTCACCACCATATGTTTTTAAGGACCTCACTGAGAATAAAGATAAATATGAGTGTAAGAATGAGATTTTTAGGCGAGGCTGACACCGGGTCTCTTTGAATGAGGATCTTGAGCACTTGTGGTTTTGGAGCTCATCCTTAAAGGCCTGCACAGGGGAAAAAAAAAAAAAAAACCTGTGTTGTGTGTGCATGTTGAAAGATGCGAAAAAGAAAAAAAAAAAAAAAAACCACTGCCAAATCCTGATAGCTCGTGGCCAGAAGCTGCAGGCAGACATGCATGGGTGGTTAACGCACGGGCGGTGTCGTCGTTATTATGGTTATTTGGTGTGTGGGTGTGTGTGATGGTTTTTGTCTGTCTGTTTCAATGTGGACACTTCTCTGTAAATGTCTTGTGCCTTGTTCTTTCCTGTTTGGTGTGTCCTCTCCCTTCCCCTCCCCTCCCCCTGCCCCCACGAGGGGTCGGGTGACAGCATGCCCACGGTCTGGAATAGCGCTTGTGCTTCTGTTGCACTGCAGTCAGCTGGCTTCTGGGTTAGAGCGCTCTCTCTCTCTCTCACTTTGTCTCTTTCCCTTCTCCTCTCCCATTCCCTTTCTCTGCACTCTTAACTCTGCCTGCCTTTTCTCCCTGTTGAGGCAGTGGAGGCTGACAGTCCTATGGATTTTTCTTATCCCAGTTGAGTTTTTAAATAGATTTTAATTCATTCTAGAATGGAGAGATCCTCAGAACCATTTTTCATTTTCCATTTTGGTTTCAAAGTATTTGACCAGTGCCAGATACCAAGCCCACACCCCAGACCACTGCCCGTCCTTGGGAAACTGCCCCATGAGTCTCCCGTTCCCTGACTTATGCTAGTACAGACCATGATAGAATCCTGAAAGCACTGTGCTATGTCCTTACCTTCCCTGGTAATCAGTTATGGGGGAATTCTTAAGTCTGTTTAAAAGAAGACCAGCCAGCAGTGCACATGATTACAATCGCTATGTCCACCGTCTGTCTGTGTGCCTCTGTGTACATCTCTCTGTATGAGTACGTAACAGTGGCATTCAAAGGCTGTCATTCAGTCAAGGGACTCTGCAGACATTGTATGCGCTACCCAAGAACAAAGCTAAAGAGGTTTACGAATGGCTGCAGGACCTGAAGATTGCGTTGCAGCCTTGATATGCAGTTTGGAAACTATGTGCTGCTGTTTAACGGCGTGAACCAAATTTCTGCTAATGGGAAGAAGGGAAAAACTCTCCACAAAGCTGACAAAGCAGGAAGAACAGGATGACTGAGCTTTTAGATTAAAACTACCGGGGGCGTCTGAACTCTTATGGCTGGTGGTGGAAGTATCAGTTTCCATGACATGGCCAAGTGATCAGATGTGTGCTGCGTAGGTAAGAGAGAGACCGTCGCCTACTTTGTTTTTCCTAATGGGAATGGTACTAGGCCACTGGGCCAAGGTTTTGTTTCCTACGGATTTTATTTCATTGTTCTTTTTTGTAATTTTCTGTAAAATATTTATATGATAACCTGATGAATCGAACTCAGAAGCCTCTTTAGGTAAAAAAAAAAAAAAAAAAAAAAAAAAAAAAAAAAAAAAAAAAAAAAAATCAAAAACTTGATTTTTGCACTTATCGAAATGGCTAGGATTTCTGACTCATTCTAATTCTTTGAGGTTTTTCTTCTGGTTTAAAATTGCCTTATTGCACCACTTTGAGAAGCCAGCAGGTACTGTCAAGAAGGAGAAATTCCAGCTCCAGAAGCACACAGTGCTTAGCCTGTGCCATAGCACCTGTAATGCCAGAAAAAGCCAAACATTAGTCTCTGCAGAAAAGACAGCCAATGTGCATAAATTAAATGATCATGTCTGCATCTTAGGACTTCCTTAATTGCTCCAAAAAAATCCCATATGCAACAAAAGTAAACTTTCATTGGTTTAACAGATTTTGAAGAAATGCATTGCATGCATTTTAATTAGAAGTGACTAGAACTTGAATAGATAATAGGAAATTTTGAATGGAAGAAAGGAGAAGTAATTTCCTACTTGTTATTAAGTGGCAGTGTTTCCTTTTGAGAAATATTCTCTGCTTTTATAAAATGCATCTTTGTCATTTTCTTTGAGAAAATGAGACGAGTCTAATTTTTAACATGAAAGAAAAATACCTAAACCAAAGCAGTTCTTGGAGGAAGATTTTGTTTTTCCTCACTGTACAGCCAGTGCTATGGTAAACTCTTCTAATTATGTTTATTCAGAAATTATCCAACTATGGCAGTATGCTGTAGATTCACGTAAAAAAAAAAAAAAAAATCAAACCGCAAAAGCAAATTTAATGCCACTGGCCTAAATGACTTCTCAGTTTGGAACATAATCTGGAGATTCCAGATGATTTGGTATATTTTAAATTTTATGCCATTAAAAATGACAGTTTCCGCTTTTATGGGGTTTATATCAACTGTCTGTTGCTTCTAAATGGAAAACTTTGCATATCAATAATACTTCATAAACATATTTGTTTTTATTTTTTTAATTAGCTTTCTAGTGTCCTCCCCAAGGAAACAAGCCTTAGGCAGTAAAGCTGCCTACTTGAAACATTCTTTTTTAATGTGGTTGAGTGGACACAATGCACGTATGTAGAACACTTTGATATTCATCGGGCCACGCAGAAGTGAGGGATTAGCCTTTTGAGAACTGCAAATTCATAATTAAGTACAGAGAACTACTTTATGTTGCCCATTTATAACAGTTATTCAAATAATTGTATTCATCAGTCTTTATACGATGGATAAAGCCAATTAGAAATAGAAACACTTTCAGCCAATCAGATTTCAGGACAAAGGCTAGCATTTCTCCTCAGCTGCTTTTATAATTTACTGCATTACCACGGTCCCTTTAGTTGCCTGGCTCCATAGCTTGGGAACACCTGTGAAATCTAAAGGCTTTCATTTTGATTTGGCTTCTGCTCCGGAGCATTTGGCATCCAGGGTTCATGTGGGAAACTCCTTCTAGAACTGATGTTGGAACAGCCTCACAACATACTCAACCAGCTCTCCACGTTCATTTGGCCTCTTTGTAAACCACCTTAGAAAATCTAAGCTTTAATGACCACTCATACAAACTTGTTTTAGTTATGTATTGCCAGAGCATTTGTTTTGGTTACGTTTAGGCTCTGGTCAGTAATTCACCAACGATGACTCTCAAAACATTAACTCAGCAAGTAATTACTGAGAATATACTTTGTGCTGAGCTCCAGGGAGGGGAAAGATGCAAAACTTGTGTCTCTCTCCAAAGACCATGCAACTGAATTAGATCCATAGCCATCTTCAAAATGACAGCTAGAGATTATAAGACAGCTATTGTGGGAGTTTGAGTTTCTGGGGCAATAAGATGGGATTGAAGGAGAACAGACATTAATAAGCAAAGGCCAACCTAAAGTTTTGTGTTGTTTAATAAACTTCCTTAAAAGATCAGCTGGGAATGAGCATGAAGAGAAGCCATCTCTAGCTGAACCTCCCTCTGTTTAGCTATACTCCACCTCACTTAATTCAGAGCAGAGCTGGTGGCAAACTGTCTCAGCTGACCAACATTGGGGTTGACTGGAATACAGGCATTTCAAGCCCCATTTGATTATCTCCTGGCCTAACTGCTTTTTCAGCTTTGAGGGTTTTATTTTTCCAGAACACCATTGATTTATGAAATTCTTCTTAAAAAAAAAAAAAGAGTTGTGAATCAGATGTTTCTGATGAAGGCATAACCTGCAATCTGCAGTTAGCAGGTGCTATACCATTTTGAAATATGTGATCCAAGATTGTGCTAAATTGATAATGAACTGTGTTTGTCAGTATTGGCAAAGGATTTCCATTTTCAGCAAAATGCAAGATAAAACTTACATACATCAGTATGTAGCATCTAAATACATTCATATTTAAAAGATATATCAGAGTGTCCACAGCTAACAATTCAGCTTTACTTTTTTTCTTTCTGCATGCTGTTTTGAATGAATGATTTTTAACCATTCGCCCTCATGTTTCATGTGCTTTCAACAGTGGAGGCCAAGGACTCCTTCTGCCTCGATTGTATAGCAATAACAAAATTACATGATTAAAGAAATGAACATATGGATTAATATATTCAAGCTCTCCAAAAAAGTGAGAGATAGCAAGAGATTTGGCTCATGTTTTTTTTTTTTTTTTTAAACAAAATCCATCCTCAGTTCTTAAGTGTTTTGTTTATGTCCCTCGAGGAATGAAAAGAAAAACGATTTGTTTTTACTTGTAAGGCCCTACTCAGTTGCCCAATTCCGCAGAAGAACTGGACAGTGAGGATCTCTCAGGTAAGGGCTAGTCACTAGGTAAGGCACTGCAGTGTCCAACCTGTGGGTTCTTTGTCCACTGTGACCAAATGACCACTTGGTTTGTTAAGGGGTCAGTGTGGATTCTGAGACTAAGGAAAGAATAAATTGGCACAGATAATGCATCCTTCTCCATTCACTCACCCACCTTTCTTTCCTATGGGAACAATGTGTGTATTTCAGACCAAGGCCTGTGCCATAAATACAGTAGAGAGCAGAATGCTGAGGCCACTCTTCTTGGTGACTTAATGTTTCTATCCTAGATGTATAATGGCTCAGGAGAAGCTTGGTTGCATTATAAAGCAGTTGCTGTTGGATTATGTGACAGGATCTTAAAGTCATACTGACTGTCTACTTCTGTAGAATAGACTAGAAAGCCATATTATAGTACTTTGAAGTAGGTGGTAGAGTGTGGGGGGGGCAATTGTTTTGTCACACACCAGGCTGTAAACTAATTATCCACCTCAGACCTTTTTCACAGCATACTGAGCTCTTGCAAAAGTAGCTTTCATGCTTGATTCCAGGACTTAGGTGTTACTAATCCAGAATAAGAAGCATATCCTAAAGAAGAGGGAGGAAGGAGATTTAAAGTGATCAGAGCTAAACAATTATATGAGCTCCCATGATGTCATGAGACTTCAGTGCCAACTGTCTACAGCTTCTGAAGCACTCTGATTGGTCAAAGTACAAAGTACTTAAGGCATGTGTTTCCTTACTGGAGCCCACTGGAAAGCAGATTTCATATTGCCCTAAACATTGTTCCTATCATTGTTTTGAATGGCTGGTGCTTGAGATGCTGTCCTTAACTATAACTCAGTGAAAACCCAGCTCGTACTCCCCTGTATCTCAAAACACACTGCTCTATTTCCAGATGTGTGCTTCTATGAGACCTCAGATATACCTTCACTTTTTTGCTCTGTCCCTTATTCGAGGGGGAGCTGAGCTGTTGGAGCAGAAGCTTCCACGAGGTTACACGCTGGGCCTGTCGCCTGCAGATACCTGTCTTGCAGTAAGCAGCCAGTTAATGCTTTTTGGATAAATTAATGAATTCTAAATACTAGTGAATTTCAGTAAGTAAATAAATTAGATAGGAAGCCACCCATTAGCCATGTCATTCATTTGTCTCTTACTTGTGGTTGATATATTTAAAGAAGTTTCAAAAAAAAAAAACCATTAAGTTTATTTTCTTTTAAAATAAAAGTAGGTAAGTCCTACCTGGCTATAGCACAATGCCAGAAGTAAACAGCTTGCCTCCCCCTGTGGAAGTGTTCTGTGTTCTGGCACTCACCTCAGGTACAGTGAGCCTGTACCACTGGATCGCTCAAGAATCCTGAGAATCCTGAGTTGACCCTGATCTCTTTTGGCATATTTTCCAGACAATGATCACTCAGACAGGCAAAAGGAATTTCATCCTCTTTAGGAAACTATGAATCAGCCAGGTACCTCTTTTCCCAGCATCATCAATTAGGAACACTGCAGGTCCCAGCCCTGCACTGTGTTAGATGGCTCTCCACTGCCATTCTATCAGTCACTCCATCCAGGAGCAATAAACCAACAACCATTTGTGTTCATAATAATTTGGTCAAATTAATAATTACATTGCCCCCACCCAATCCCTTTCGGCCTGAGGCATTCCTGTTTCTGGGAGTCATAAGTCATGTCGAATGCTGATGAACTGGCAGGCTGGGGCTGGGCTGCCTTTGCATCTGGTTTGATGAACTAATCAAAAACTGATTAGCACCTTTGTTCAAAGGGGATGCTGATTAATCAATTACTATTGATTGTGAGCTTGGCTTCTCTAGGCAGCGAAGAGACATCTAAAGGGAGAAAAAAAAAAACAACCAATAAAAATTGAGCAGCTGTCATAGTGTTTAAATTTATTAAAACAAAATACATTATTTTTTATGAAGCTGTCTTGAAATGGGTCACTGAAGGGGATCATATTGACTGAGAAAGGATGAACTTCTCAAATTTCTGTAGCCTGGAGACTGAATTCAATTATAATACAAGACAAACAGGCTAACACCCGCCTTAAACAGCCCATCAATAAATTAGAGTAGGTGTTGCCCATTTAATGCTGAACTGTGATAATGAATAATGTTACCCACTCCCTGCCGTATTGGGTAGAAAGTCCATCCTTTCCGCATTAGGGATTAATGTTTCACACTTCCAAACTGCCCCGTGCCCAGCCCCCACCCTTCATCCTCCATTCGCTGGTGCCTGCCTCAGTTAATGACAGGGTTACAGGCAGCATATGCTGTGCAGCCCTCACAGCAAAGCGAGGTGCCCAGCTGATCCTCCTCTGTAATCTATATTTGAAAAAAGGCTCGGTGCCTCGTTCACTGATTCAGTTATTGGCCAACTTGGGGTGGGGGCTTCTCCACTTCTTCTTTGAACCCTTTTGTTTACTTTTGGTGTGTTAATTTTATTGATGATAGGTCCACACTAGTTTTGAATTGTTTTATCAATTACATCTGCTATTTCTCAGTGACAGCTGGTGGTTATTACCACCCCATGTGGAATAGAAAAGCTTTAAGCATATTTATCCTTCTATTTTACTTTAAAACTTTAACAAAACTGTCTCCAACTGCCTCCCCTCCTTCATCAATGGAGGGGCCTCTGGGAACTGTTCAGTAGAAGGAGGTGGTAAATGGTATGCCCAGGAATAGCCCTCGGTGCTGGCAGGGCAGCCCATCTGTCTTCTGCTTTGGAAGCAGAGACACTGACAAGGGATTCCAGTGCTACTTTCAACTCTTGTTACCCTCTGAATGAGAAAGTGATCTGGAAAAAAATCCTAATGCCCTTCACAAGCCACAAAAACATGCCAGGGATGGGCAGGCTTCTGCCTGACTTTCATAGTTGTTAGGAGCAAACCCAGGGAACCAGCTCTTGGCTCTCTGGGTGGGTTATAGAGGAAGCCTGGACTTTATGTCCTGGCCTTCGCATCCAGCAATTCTCAGGCAGAATGCACTATATGGCTCCGGCACACATCATCCACCACCACACAAGTGAACACATTCGTACATACATGCACAAGCACACACAGAAACACTCAGCAGCCACTGCATTTTGGAGGAAGTCTTGAGTTAGCAGTACATGAAGTGTGACCCTGGTTTGGAAAACAGGCTGTTTAATTTTCTTGGTAGACAATATATCAAAAAGAAGAGGAGGAGGAGGAGAAAAGAAAGACTCTATCACTAAACAATACCACTGGCCCTCATAATATATTATCTAATTTTTATTCCATAAAAGTGTTTTAACTCCATGTGCTGGGCTCTGGGCTGGCCCCTACTAAACAGTGGGAAATAAGATCCAGTAGGAGCTGGACCAGCCTTGAATTTCACAGGCTTGTCCTGCCATCCAATGGAAACTTTCCAGTAGGGAACACAGACTGGTTCCCCAAGTTAATTGTGATTATGGAAAGTTAAAGCCAAGCAGTTGTAAATGAATAGCTGAGACAGGAGAAGGTGGAGGACATATTAGAAAAGCATCCCAGAGACCAGGGACAGGGAAGACCTGATGGGTGGGAATGGGCCTGCTGCCGTAGGGGATCCTCATGAAATTCCTATGGGATAGTTAAGGAAGGGTTGTTAATTTATAAGTGAAGAAAGCAGGCACCTTAGAGGCCCCAAGCAATTTACATGGACAGAATTTAAATATGGGTTCCTGGTTCAAGGTTCAGGGTTCTCAGCCTCTGAAAACTCCACAGCTTCTTCTACTTTGGAGTCTCTTGAGAATACAATTTTTGGTCCTTTTCATTTTTTTGTGGGCATTAGGGAACATGCAAGGAAAGTTGGGCCCTGCACAGCCCATCAGAAATACAGCCATGTGCTAACTGACCTGGAAAAGTTGTTTTACTAATTAAGTGCCTTCACCTTCAGAGAAGATCCACCCATGCTCTGCTCTGGTGCCACTGCCCCGTGGAGTTCCCTAAATGATGGGATTAGTTCCTCCCTGGGGTGGTCCTAAATGCCATTGTAAAGTAATACTTGAAAGGGTTTAAGACATGGAAGTTTCACTCTTTAAAATTTAAGTTGTTCATCCTGGTACATACCTGTAACCTCAGCGTTTGGGAGCTGAAAAAGAAGTCTTTTAAGTTTAGTGTAAATCAGTACATTGAGACACCTCATGAGACCCACAGTCAGAGTCTTTCCTACAACAGGAGTTTGCATTTCCCCCTAGTGCTGACCTTTCCCATAATCCAACATGCTACTGTTTTCACCATGGGGAGGAAGGTGGTCATGGCCAAATAGACCCAACGTTTTCTTTGGACTAAAATGTTGCTAGCCACAGTGCGAAGTGTGAGTTCCAATTCCTCAGGTTGGACACTGCTATGGGGTGACTTCACCATATCCATGATTCCATCCTCTTCACGCCCCCAAATGCCTGAGGCCCACCAAAGCATCTATCTGTAGAGACAGATTCTAGTGGGAATGCCGGTTTGGAAATACTTTATACTCTCTCCTTATCAGGTTCCTATAAGGACAACTCCAGTGTCATCCTCAGTGCCTCCCCATTGCTTAAAACAGAGAAAGCCATCCCAGTGTCAGTGTCCCATTATAAGACAAGTAGAGCAGGGCTCTACTCTCTGAAGATGTTACATGCCTTGGGATTGGCCTCCTGTTTCATGGAGTCATTTCTGCTGATGCTTAAATTAACTAAACCAAAAGACTGGAGAAGGGAGAGAAATTTGCATTTTAAAAGACTTGTCCTGATCACCAGCTGCAGAGTGTTTAACATTACAGTCCTGAAATCATAAGGTGCATCCAGTGGCCTCGGGCTTCCTTAATCACCATAGAGAACAGAAAAGTCATCAGCTATAGCACATGCCAATTCTGCATAAGTGAAATGAAAGCCTGATGACCCTTGCTTCTAAAGAGCTGACAAATATGGGTCAGTGATAAGAACCAAAAAGATCATCCTCGGATTTTTTAGAATGGCCTGAAGCTCAGCAGACACTGAGCCCCAACGACACACCAAGT